CTCCCCGAAGGCCCGGCTCGGCCCGCGCTCCTGCCCTGGCCGGACCCAGACGCCGACCGTGCTGTCCAGGGCGCAGCCGCGGGGGCGGGCGGCCAGCCGGAGCGCACGGTGCCGGGCCCGGGATCCCTGGCGCGCCCCACCTCCCGCAGCTCTCCCAGGGGTTCCCACAAGACCAAGAGTTTCAGCATCGACAGCATCCTGGCCGGGAGGCAGGGCCCGGGGCGCGAGAGCCCGGGGGTCGCCAAGCCCGGGCCCAGCCTGGGCGCCTCCCTCCTCTCTGCCTCCTCCAGCCTCCAGCCTCCCTTCAACGCCTCGCTAGTGTTCGACCCGCACGTCCAGGGCGGCTTTTACCAGCTTGGCATCCCCTTCCTCTCCTACTTCCCCCTGCAGCTCTCTGACTCTGCGCTTCTCTTTCAGTAAAATCATTGGCCAGGCGGCTGCTTCCCCGTCCCTGGAGGGCCCCCGGCCACCACTGAGCCCAGGCCTTGTCCGGCTTGCCTCTGAGGGAAGGAGATGAGCCCACCTCGGCCTTGGGGGCGGCAGTGATTTGGAACATTGGACCAACCTGCTCGGACCTGGATGCACAGATGGGCGGGTTTGTTCACCTGTTTTCTCCGAAGAGGACTTAATCAGCAACCTGGTGGCCTCACAGACTGAGAAGTCCAGTCCTGGGGAAACCCGGGTATGGAAGGCAGAGCTCTCAGCCCATCTTGTCCGGAACAGAATAAGCTGGCCTCAGGTTGGCCAAGGCCAGACTCTCCTTGTCTACCACAGGACAAGGGGCCTGAGACACCAACTGATCCTGAGGGGTTGGCACAGTGGGTGATGTTTCCCGTGGAGTTTCAGTCTGACTGTAGCAGATTCAGTGGAACCCCTGTGGCACAGGCCTTAGTTTTGAGCTCCTTCTTGGATGCTGGGAGTTTGCCTCTGAGTTTGGCCTACAAGTTTGCTTTCCAGGGCACTGGGGATGAGCCCTGGTCCCCAGGGTCTGGGAGATGTAGGTCTGCATAGCATTTACAACCAAGGTCAAGAGGAACCGCACAGAGAGCTAACACTTATTTTGAATAGAGAAATGTTCTCTCTCTAGACAGTGAAAGGAACATTAATCTTGGCTTTAGGGCCCTTTAAGAGAGCAGCTTCAGCTGAGACTCTCTGTGCCCTGGCAACACAGCATTTGGCAGGCTGTGTGTGGAACTCAGAATGGTCCGCTCCTACCTTTTTCTATCTTTTTAAGACACCAGAAGGTTTGAGTGTGGGAGGGCCGGGAATTCTCAAGGTCAGAATTTCCCTTTCTGTGGTTTTTCAAGACCTAAGTTTGTCTTTTGTTTCTCTTTTTTGCCACATTTTCTAGAATTCATGAGCAATCAGAAAAGCCAGGCAAAATGGAGGGAAAGCCAGTGAGAATGGCTTCAGGGAACCAGCAAGGAGTGTCCGTTGGAGGTGTCTGCAGAGGGTACAGGGTTCCAGGCTCGATGCAGACTTCAGACACCCCAACCTCCGGCACCCCGTCACCGGCCCACCGCCACTCCTGACATTAAATAAATATAAGTAGTGACCGGGAGGTGGGGGGGACACCACCAAAAATCCAGCCAAGGAAACTGACATTGTCTCACGTAGCCCAGCCCCGCTTCTGGCTTTGGGGGAAACAGATTCTCATGGCTCCTGTGTTTCGGCTCTCTGCTGGGTTCTGAAACTTGGCTCGCCCAGCTGCCAAGGAACTTTTCTTTTATCTGATATAGCACAGGTACAAATATGAATTCTTGGAGGTAGGCAAAGGGGGAGGTTCAAAGTAACAGAGGAGTCCTGCCTCATGCCTGTAGTTTCAATACTTGAGAGGCTGAGGCAGGAGGATTGATGTGAGTTTGAGGCTAACACGGGCTACATAGTGAGTTCCAGGCTAGCCTAGGCTACAGAGTGAGACTTGGTTTCAAAATAAACAAAACCGCTACCACTACTAAGAACCACAAAAAGTAAAAAGCAAACAGAACAAACAACTACTTTCTAGGACCAGTTCAAAGGTGACTAAAAATTCCCCAGTGGCTGCTGTTCAAGCTGGGCAGGTGTCCTGGGCAGGTGTGATACTTAATAATTAGTGAGCATGGGGTCAGCTCTCTGAAAATTCCCTGGTACCATACTGTGGACCCCTAGGCTCCCAACTCACCCCCGGGTATCAGACCTACCAGGCAGGTAGGGACACCAGGGGAGCTGCAGAGCCTTCCTTTGAAGGACTTTGCCATGACCCCAGGGTGGGTCCAGGTGTGACCCACTGGCAGTGTATCTGGGCTGCCACTGTATGTGCCCCACACTCTCGGCCTCTGTGAATAAAGGTTGTTTTCACATTAACCTCTCAGTGACTGGGTCAGTGGATTACTGGGCAGGGTGTTAGGAGAAAGGACAGTGGATTGTGTCCAGGAATCTTGCCAGATGCCTTGGCTTTGACAGTGAAGGTGAACTGCAGAGAAGGGACCAGGGACCCCACAGAGCCCGGATGTACCTGACGTCAGGAAGTAGGATGGGCAAGTCCACTGTGTCTGACGTTTTACATTTTCCTTTTATTTTGTGTTTGATACAATGTCTTAGGTACTCTGGTTAATTTGTGACTGATTTTTGAAGAAGCAACTAATTTAATATTGCTTAGAAGGTAGTGTTTTAGAGTCGTAACAAAAAGTATTTGTAAGAACATTATTTTTAAGGCATAGATGGATGAAGGAGCACGCATCTACTTTGTGCTTACAGAGTGTCTAATCTCAGTTTCCATCGGGTTCAGAAATGCTGGAGCGACACAAGGTAAAGATGACGCTGTCTGTCCAGTGCGTGTGAGTCTGTGTGCATTCCTTCCTACCAAGGACAGAGGGAAGGGAGCTGGGTCCTAGCCAGCCAAACAGCTGCTTCCGTGTTCTGTCTGGATAACTGGCTCAAATTTACGGATCAGTAAGACCAAGAAATGGTCTCAAGCCAGATATAATGGAGCACGCCTTTAATCCCAGGTCTAGGATGGCAGAGGCAGGCGGATCTCTGTGAGTTCAAGGCCAGCCTGGTCTACATAGTGAGTTCCAGGCCAGCTGGGGCTACAGGGAGACCCTGTCTCAAAAATATATATGTCTGGATAACTGGCTCAAATTTACGGATCAGTAAGACCAAGAAATGGTCTCAAGCCAGATATAATGGAGCACGCCTTTAATCCCAGGTCTAGGATGGCAGAGGCAGGCGGATCTCTGTGAGTTCAAGGCCAGCCTGGTCTACATAGTGAGTTCCAGGCCAGCTGGGGCTACAGGGAGACCCTGTCTCAAAAATATATATGTACACATGCACACACACACACACACACACACACACACACACACACACACCAGTCTTTACTTTTAATTTAGACAAAATTCAGGTGTGTTTCATGGAAAGAAGCAAGCTAATCTCTCTTCCTTCATGCAGTCTGGGTCAATTCTCTGCAGAACCCAGGGACAGAGTCAGTTTTGTTTGAACCCCGAGAACTCTCAGCTCCTCACATTCTCTGGTTCTCTGTCCATCTCTCTTTCTCTGTATCTGATGCTCCCTCTCTGTCTCTCTGTCCCTCTTTGTCTCTCTGTCTCTCTGTCTCTCCCTGTCTCTCTGTCTCTGTATCTGATGCTCTCTCACTGTCTGTCTCTCTGTCTCTTCCTGTCTCTCCATCTCTGTATCTGATGCTCCCTCTCTGTCTCTGTCTCTCTTTGTCTCTCTGTCTCTCTGTCTCTCCCTGTGTCTCTGTCTCTGTATCTGATGCTCTCTCACTGTCTGTCTGTCTCTCTGTCTCTCCATCTCTGTATCTGATGCTCCCTCTCTGTCTCTCTGTCTCTCTGTCTGTCTCTCTGTCTCTCCCTGTCTCTGTCTCTCCATCTCTGTATCTGATGCTCCCTCTCTGTCTCTCTGTCTCTCTCTGTCTGTCTGTCTGTCTCTCTGTCTCTCTGTCTCTCCCTGTCTCTCTGCCTCTGTATCTGATGCTCTCTCACTGTCTGTCTCTCTGTCTCTCCCTGTCTCTCTGTCTCTGTATCTGATGCTCCCTCTCTGTCTCTCTGTCTCTCTCTGTCATTGTCACTCTGTCTTTGAGTCTCTTCTCTCTCACTGTATTTCTCTGTCTCTCTCTCTCATACACAGATGCTTTCACTGAATATAGTGCAGGGTATGACAGTGTATATGAAGGTGCACACACATGTATACATGTGTACATGTGTGTATATATATATATTTATTCTGTGTACGTGAGCATTCAGAAACTCATCTTTCGCATGTATGTTGGACTTGGATCATGGGATGACTTCTTTATATTAACTCAAGTATTAATATCACGTGAAATGTTTCGGTTTTGTATATGACTTTCTTTTTTATCTTGCACGTGTATGATGTGTGTGCATGTTCATATGTATGAGTACTGGTGTGGCCCTGTCACAGTGTGCTTTTGGGAGGTGGGAGCACAGCCTTGAGTGTCAGTCCTCACCGTCTACCTTGTTTGAGTCAGACTCTCTCCTTGTCCACTAGCTGGTCCACGACCTCCAGAGAGCGTTGGTTTCTACCTCTCCTCTGCCTGCAGCAGTGCTGGAGCGCAGCGGCCGCTCTCCTCATCCCACACTTCAGTGGGTTCTTGGGACCCTAATCCAAGCCTCCATATGGCACAGAAGGCACGTACCAACTGAGTCACTGCCACAGGCCTGTGTGTGGTTTCCACACTTTTATCTTCTACATAGTTCTGACCTGGGGCCATTTATCGATTTTTGCTTTATAATGAGCCTGACCCAGGCTTCATAGAGGAGTCTTGACAGAGCCTGACCCCGAGGGCTTCACCTCTGTTACTTCTGGTTCTTGGTTTCTCTGGAGTGGGGTATTTGCCGCTGTTTTGGAAGCTAAGGGTCTCTGCAATCTCTAACAAGCCCTAACATTTGGAGGGTACAAAAAAGATGGGTCCAGCCATCTTCAGAGGAGACTGGGTGTGTTCAGGGTGTGGCCACAGACTCCACCCTTTCTCAGACAGAACTGGGGGCCACGTGTGGTCTTCACCCTTTCATGGAGTGGCCAGTGACTGTTCATGCGTGGGTTAAAGGAGCCACAGCCTTTTGGCTGGAGCCTGAACCTGCCTGCCCACTCTTGGCGGCATAACATCTTCATCACAGAAATTTGTGTGTGGGAAGAATCGACAAGGAGCTGGGGTTCTGTGCATCTTTATGGCGTCTGAAATCACACTTCCATGAAGTAAAGTTTGCTTCACAGAATAGAAAATATCAACGGTTAAAAATCACATTTATTGTTAGAAATGAACAGTGGGAACTTGTCAGAAAAGTAAAATTGTTTTGCTATGCATTCAAAGCAATTTAAAAATAGCCCAGTGGCAAGTGGTCGGCTAGGCTGATTCTGCCCCAAGGTCCCAGGGCCAGTTCTACAGGCCCTGGCGGATGCCAGAGTGCTTACAGTGACCAGGAGTGGCCGAGGGAGGGCGAGACCTGGTGGGGGATGGTCCTGTCCCTTCTCTGGCAGCCACATGCTAGTTGGCGTTGGGATAGGTGGGTGTGTTATCTCATAGGTCAGATGGGGTGGGGGCTTCAGCCAGGAACCTGCATGGTGGGGGGGGGTCTAGCATGCATGGTGAGGAGGAGGAGGAGGAGGAGGAAGGGGAGGAAGGGGAGGTGTGGGGCAAAGATTTGGCCTCAGCTTTTTCTATCAGATTTGAGAATCAGTCTGACAGGAAACTGAAACCTGCTCCAATAGGTCAGAACCAGGCTTTGAGGGTTGGGTGAACAAACCAGGGAAGACCTGTAAGGGGGACTATTCTAACCACATCTCCCCTCCAGAGGAGGAGGAGGAGGAGGAAGGGGAGGAAGGGGAGGTGTGGGGCAAAGATTTGGCCTCAGCTTTTTCTATCAGATTTGAGAATCAGTCTGACAGGAAACTGAAACCTGCTCCAATAGGTCAGAACCAGGCTTTGAGGGTTGGGTGAACAAACCAGGGAAGACCTGTAAGGGGGACTATTCTAACCACATCTCCCCTCCAGCCTCCCTGACCCCAACAGCAGGAGCAGGAAGGAGCCGGGAGACTGTTGGCCTGCCAGATCCAAGCCACCAGCACCCCTGATTGGTGGGAACCTGCCACACTTCCAACCCCAAAGGAGGCTGGGTAACATGGCCCATAGACGTCAGCATCCTGGAACAGAGTGGGCCTAAGCACAGACCAGGTGTGGTGGGCGGGGTGGGGGGGGCAATGAGGCATGAAATGCAGGCTGGGTGTCTGACCCCTGGACTGGTCTGTGTCCAGTGCCCTGTCACTCTGACAGTCAAGAGCGGAGACTGAAGCCTCAGATGATGCCAGCCTGCACCCCGCTGTCCTGGAGACTGGGTCTGCCCCTGGCAAGCTTCCAAGGGGATGGAGCTCTACATCCTAATCCAGACCCCCTTAGGTGGGCTGGGTCTGCACCTGCTCATGGCCTCCAGCTTCACATCTGGAGCCCTCACACCCCAGAGCCTGGGAGAGATAGCCTCCAGGGTCATGAGTTTCTGCCCTCTCACCAGAGCCTGGAGGGGCTCGCATGGTTCAGAAGGATGTGTCTGACCACGCTTCTGACTACTCCTGGCTTCTCTCATTTTATCATCCAGCACAAAGTCACTCCTTGTCTGTGGCTCTCTGGATGTGACAGACACCATGCTACCCTTCCAGAATGTGAGTCCACAGGTTGTGATATCATCTGCCAGTCAAGAGGAGGGAGGGCACAGTGGTGTTTTGACCGCAGGGCAGCGTCTCTGTCAAGTCCTCTAGGAGGGGTGGTACCACACCCTGGTGCTTATGGGTCAGGTAGACATTAACAGAACTGACTTTCTGGTGTGACTCATGTCCTTAGGATGTA